TCTTCTTCTCTTCTTCTTCGCTTATAAAATATTTCATCAGCTATGTGATTTACATAGAAGAGACTCATGGTGAAGGATAAATAATTCCTGAAGTATTGAATGACGACGCAGCATTTTCGCATCGCAGGAAAAAGCTCCGTGTCGCGGAAATACGTAATAATATTATACTAACTTAGAGGTGAATACAAACTGACGCCCGTGTGCTTTTAAATCTTTCGGCAAAGTGCGACGGCTCTCAAGGCTCCTGCTATCCCGAGGCAAAAAAAAAAAGAAGATTTCTTCGGCAAATTTCCAACTGAATTTGTTCGGGGTAGGGGCGAAAGCGGGCGGAGAAACGGCGCGTTCCTCTCCCGTACGTATTCCGCACGTCCGCGTGCAGCCGCATGCACAACTCAAGGCGCCTGTTTCGTGCCTGTCGATATTGGTTTCGTGGTGTATTGCGTCGGTTTGCGTTTCCTTCCGTCTGGCCTCTTCTCTATTTCGCCAACCTCGCGCGCCATCCTCCGCGCCTTCGGCTGCTTTTCAGTCTTCCCCTACCTCCATCCCGCTCTCGCGATTTCACCCTCCTCTCCTCCCGCGTCTCACCGCCTTTCCGTCTGACCCGCGCTTTTTTCCCCGATTCGCGGTATTTCCGCATCGGGATGAAACCGACTAGCGAGAAGGATGCACGAAAGAGACGGAGGGAAATGAAATTTAAAGAAGTGTCGATAAAATGACTCGCGATTCCCTCTTTCCGCCGTCGGAAACGCGGTTCGATAACATCTCGCGCCGGGTCAACACGGTGAATGCCTCGGTCGCGTGTAACTATGTTTACACTGTTGAAAAAGAGAGAAACGTCAAGAATGGTCTCCGATTATTATCGCAACGTTGCCCCCTGCATTGTGTTCCAACGTTAGGCAAAGCGTAACAGACAACATAAAAGTGCAATAAAAGTGAAATTGGGTGTTGGGTGCAAGGTATTCGGAAGCTGCTGCAAAATGTATATAGGCAAACAAGATTAAATTAGAGCTTACACTTTACAAACGCGGTGACTCTTTTTTTTTTGTTGCGCGAAGATAATTGTGTTGCGAGATAGGAGAGCGGACTGGAAGTTTCGAGGGGAGAGAATCGTACGAGCCCGGGATTTGCGAGAAGCGACACCAAATACACGTATGCGCATCGCCGATAGAGGCGTGGCGGAAAACGCAGATTAAGACTGAAATATGTCCCTAAGCCTTTTATTCTGCTGTCGGTATTATATCCCGGGATTTATTTACAAACGGCAGGCAAATCCGCGACAGCAAGAGAGAGAGAGAGAGAGAGAGAGAGAGAGAGAGAGAGAGAGAAAATCGAATTATGTAGAAAGAATATTATATAATTTCATTTATAGAAACATCAATAATTAATAACAATTGCATGCTATATTAAACTTGTTATATTTATCATATTTTCTTTCTAAAATTGTAAAACTGTTATTTAAAATATTTTTTTATCATACATATTTTAAGATTTCAGTACTTTTCTCTTTGATAAATATACTTCTTGTATTTGATATAGTTAATTATATATTCAAATAAAATAAAATATAAATGAAACCTGTTCTTATTAACACTTCACGATTAATTGCTTTGTTTCTTTTCGTCAATGTGTATAATCTTTTTTTCTTTAACGAAAATCTGTAATGATCTTGTTAGCGTGAATGAGTATTATTAAACACACGACGTTGAGGAAGATGCGGATAAGTATTGTTCCGCATTCCTCTCGCCGTTGCAACCAGCCATAATAGCCGGCCGTGCGAGCGGTTATTAGAGTCGGGTAGTATAGTTAGCGCTTGGAAGTCTCATATACTAGAATTCTATTATTACATCGGGTTGCCGGCTTAAACTCAGTTGGTCTTGGCTCTCTGAACCGTGAGAACGGCTTCACTTTTCGCACACCTGAGAGTCGAAGCTGCCACGTTTATCGTGGCCGGTCCATCGCTGTTACAAGCAGAACAACGCAGTTGTTTAGTCATCCCCTCGACAAGCGCATCGATCATACCTCGCTCGATCGTTTGTTATTGTTTCCCCGTTTTGTCGTCGTTAACTATCGTCATTTGGTGTAAACAGAGAAAAAAAGGTGTAAAAGAAAATGCCATACTATAATGATGTCCCATATTATTACGGAGGAGGAGCTTACGCTAATCACAGCTCGTTAATGACGGGTACAGCACGGTAAGAATAAAAAAATAAGAATAAATTTTAATTTAATACGAGCGAAATCCAATTTGAACCGTAAATTGTATTTAATATTTAGCAGAAAAGTTTCTTTTCTATCTTATTCCCGTTGAATCAAAATTTGTTTTTTTTTGTTTGGATTTATTGGTGGACATCTTTCTCTCAAGGCCGTTAATGTGTACATGATGTGTTTCGAAAAAATCAGTTAAATAGATAGTCAAATTGACTTGCTTGTAGACAAATCTCAATTTATGAGATCAAAATTCAAATGACCAAGAAAACGTGAGAATTTGTATCGATTGTGACGTAAGAATTGTATCGATTATCAGTATTGGTTTTAATTTAAACTTTTATAAAAAAGTTGTAATGTGTAATATTAAAAATATTTTAAAAACGTAGTTATAAAATATGTACGCGAACACATAATGCGTTATAATTACGAATAAAATTTTCTTTGGCAAGACAAAGAAGTCTGCGATTGATACAACTTATTAAATCATTCATTATCGCGTGATGGTGACAATGAATTTGGGAATTAATTATAAAATAATGATCTAATTATAACATCATAAAAAAAGATATCATCAACAAACATTAAAAATGTAATTGACGTGTTTAATAAACCTATATAAATTGTGTATATTTATTTTATTGTAATTTGAAATATATTTTAAATATTTTCGAATCTATTCAATTATGTTATTAGAATAGTTTAAATGTATCTCTATCAAGTAAAACGATATTTTTATGTTCCACTTTTTAAAAATAATTTTATATGAGAAGAAGACATACCGTGTTTCCATAAGAATATATTGTTTCTATTTGTTTTTTATAATATTTTGAAAATATCTTCGTAACGTCTTTTTTTCTTGTGTAAGATTGTTTTAAAAAAATATAAGATACATATATTTTTTTTACTTTTTTCACCTACCATATGTGATTAAAATAAAGATAATAAAATATACAGATAAAACTTTTTTCTATAATTTCGTATTTAAAAAAAAAATTTTTAAAGACGCGTGATTATACAAAATAGTGTCAATTTAGGCGTTTATTGATCAGATATACAGATCATCAAACAAATCACATTTATTTTCCATATGTATTAACAAGTGTTCGTGAAATGTTTCCGCTGCAACGTAACAAGGAACAAAAATAAGCATTTGGAAAGGGAGTGAATATGCAATGGCCGATCAAAGGGCTTGTCAATAATACGAACGTATCGCAATGCCACATCCCATGATTAGATAAATGAGAATGTCATTTTTAGCATTTATCTATATTCCATATTCGTTGCTTTATCACGTAATTATTCTTGCGTTCTTAAAATGTAAGTAAAATCTTATAAAACTGTGCAATAGATTCGTGTATTTTCCACATTGATAATAACATTTTCTCATGCGATGCTGTTTATGTTAAGACTCGAATTTCTAACGATCGGTTTCATGACATAATCTAAACATCTGTACTATTTATAAAACACAAACACGTTGAACGATCTACGAGAAAAGTATCCGCCAAAACAAAAGTCAGTTTACGCGAAATGTTTACGATTAATTCCAAATGAGATTACGATGTTTCGCACAGAACGCCCTTTCATACTCCACTGTCGCGTTTCTCGCCGCATCTGTCAACAATCTCCGAATCCCCACTCAGCCATCTACATCGTTTCTCGCCGATCTCTGTGAGATCAGCAAGACGAGTGATTGACACGGCGGATATCGATGTTTCGTCACCGAGAATACTCTCACATAATGGAAATCCTCCCAAAAATCGTCTACGTCGCGATCGGCCAACTATCAAGATCAGATCGCAGGCTGTAAAAGACAATCCAACATTACGCGAGCACAATGAGAGGCACGAAAAATCGGTGGGTGAGCTTCTAATGGAAAAATTTTTAATTAAGGATAAGAAGTTGATTAGCGACGAGAGTCAACAAGGAATACGTTTATATCATCAAATCAATTTAGATCGTTTAGAAAATCCTCAGGAGCGAGAAGCTGTGCAGACGCGAATCACTCGCAGATTCACGCGACGCAGGTCTTCCGCTGATTTACAGCTCGATCCCGAACAAATGCAACGGGAGGCTGCGTACGCGCAAGTGCAGGCGAAGGTCCTGGATAGCCTCGTAGCCGAGGAACAAGCTCAGATCGAGAATGAAGCTCGTCGAGGTACTTTAATATTCAGAAACGGAACAATAGCAAGAGGCCCGATCATCGAACACTCCTATGTGAATACCGTTGATTCTGATACAATGACACAGGAGGAAGAGGAAGCAGCTAGGACAAGGATAAGGAAAGCCATGAAAAAAACAAAAAAGAAAAAGAGATTATCTGTTGATAAACAGTTGTCGACTGATAAGGTTGATAACAGGCGATCAAGCACCTCTAGCGAAATTTCCACTGACTCGCAAAATAAAGAAAATGATGAGTCTCGACCTCAGATGTATAAGATTGAAGCATGTAACAGTGCCGGGGATTTCTCCACAATTTGGGTGAATACAAGCGTTGAGAATGAAGGACGCAAAGCGACAGTTGAGAAATTCAAAGAGAGTGTAAAAGTTTCCAGGAGATTTGAAACTGAAAATGAAACGGACATTTCCTTAAACGATACAGAAGAAGCGGAAACACAGATCGTGTTGGCAGTACGAAAGCCTTATGTAAAGGATACATCAAGAAACAGTGTGTATTTGACAATGAGGAAGCCCACGGAAGAACTTAACGAAAAACTTAAAGAAATTGAGAAACTTGATGTAAGAACAGGTGAAGATCAATTGAGCTTAACGAATGGCTTCGCCGATGTTGAAAATAATTTTCTCAGAAACGCATCAAAAGATTCTACAGATATAGATTCAGTGGAGTCGAATTGCAAGATTCAAGCGGCAAGTGATATTAAAGACTTTAAAGCGTTAAAGAAAATAGTGTATAAAAACATGGAATCCTCGGCAAAGAAGGATATCCATTCCGTATCGAACGATGACTCATGGGATAAACGAGATGCTGTTGTCTCAGCAACAAAAAAAAGCGGTACACGAGTAATAATTAGTAAAGATCCATCATTTTTGAAAGAAGCCGAGACAACTGCAAGTTCCATGCAATCGAACGACGTTTCAGCTTTCATTTCGACGAACGCATCAAAAAATGATTTGCAGATGGAATATCTTCGAGGAATTGAAGACATTTCGACAAAGATGAGAACGGAAGATACTTTCATCGTAGATATAAAAAATGGTGAAAGTAAAAAAAATCGTAATACGATTGATAATGCTACCAAGAAAATATTTGAGTACCTAGAAACTGATTTGACTGTCAAGATACCGGAAGTACTCACTATCGAAAATCCTATTGTTTCCATTGAAACAGATAAGTTCATAACGGAAAAAGATAGGCCAAAGATCTCCGTGATGTCGCATGACGAGAACATAATAAACTTAAGCGTTGTCGAGACCGAAGCCAGCGACAATGTTGGTAAAAACAGCGTCAGCAGTGCAATGCTCACGACAAATAGCGCGACCTGTCGTCTGCCAAAACTGTCTAAAATTAATACGGATAGAAATAATACCGTAGAAGCGCCAAAGCTATCGTTACGAGAGACTGCAGAGTATCTGGCTGACTCGCCGAAAAGTGATCACGACGTTGTCGGAGCCGACGACGCTGTCGCATTGTCGGAAAAGAACAAAACATCGAACTTGGCGCAAGTTTCTTCCTTCAATGCCTCGAAGAAAACCAATAGCGTAGATGCAGATAAACCAAATTTTAAACTCGATACGACTCGATATAATGATGCAGTCAAATTGGAGGCTAAAGAAACGACCTTGTCCAAGGAAACAAGCGACAAAGGGCATAATAATAAATATTTTGAAGAGGCAAAACTACGAATGGATATTAAGCCGGCAAAAGATATCAATCTGACGTTGAGAAACAACGTGAAAGAGATTGATGCAAATGTGTTATCCTTGAAAACGACTGATTTATCAAATACTGAAGAAAAAGTAATCATCACCGAAGCAATAGTCGATGCGAAAGAAGTGAAATTATTAAAGACTGATACGATTAAAAGAATTAATCGTATTGACGTAGTAAAGGATTCGTCGAAAGATTCAAGTTTCAAGAATAAGATGTTGAAGCTTAATACTAAAATGCCGACATTCTTAAAAGATAATGTGAACGGAAGCATTGTTGCGAACTCAAATATTGAAAAAGATTCAGACACACTTAAAATAATGAAAGTTAGAGATGGCAAATCATTTTCTTGTAATGATGCCAATGATAAGACAAGGATTTTGAAGAAAAGCCTTTCCGTTGACTCTTCGAATATGATAAATAATCTCTCGGCGAATAATATCCCCAAAGTTTTCCAGCAATCCATATCTATTGATAAAAAAGACACAGACAAGGATATATCCATCAAGACGACGTCAGAGGTAAAATCTCTGAGTAAAGTAACAGAAAAGAAACCAATGCAAGAAATGAAGATCAATGCAAGTTGCAATCCTCAAGATGAAAGTGTAGTATTATCAAGGAGTGCCTCTACAGAGTCCATTGATTTTTGGAGCGAGATCAAAGCTCCGAGTAGTCCTGAAACGAGAATGAAGCAACAGAATGGATTTCCTTTTCGCGAGGCAATTACTTCTAAGCTCGAAAAGAAAATGAATTCAATGAATTCAAAATGGAAAGATAATGAAAAGAAAAATGAGATCGACATTAAAATGAGTACTGTGGCACTCGAAAATTCGACAGTTGGATCCAGCAACAAAGTCCTCGAAAAGAAAGAAAAAGAGAAAATTGTTTCGGAATCTTTAAGAGAGAAAAAAGCGGAAATCGAAAAATTTGCGACGAAAATGGAAAAAAACGTGCCAATGATGCAAAAGGTGCCACCAAAAAAGAAGAAGAATCTTTCGATAATGATCGATAATAAGAACACAAGTTTACCCGGAAAGAAAGCTTCGTTGAAGCGCAACGATTCTGGTACAGCAACTTCCGCAACTACTCCAGTCGAGATTGCCATACCGGTAATAAATATAGTTGAAGCACCCAAGTTGTTCGAAGAGTCTGACAATCGGAAGGTCGATGAGGAACATGAGGATCCCAGCACTCCAACAAACGAGCTGTCACCCGATCCTTCTTTGATCAGGAAAATTTCAAGGTGGAGCAATCAGGATGATTTGACAAACACCGACGATGTGGAAACTCCGGTTGTGTCAGAGGAAACTAGTCTAACCGCCAGTCCTAGCATTAGTCCTCCGCAATCCTCCAAAACAAAGCGTGTGATCAAGAAGAAGAAATCATCGGGTAAAAAGACATCGGAAACGAGCGAAAAGGGGATTTGTAGCAACGAATTAACGACGACAAATCAACAGAATGCTACCAATACTAAACTTGTTTCCGAAAAGCAGCATGTAGCGAAAATTTCGCCAAAAGTGTCTCCTAAGGCCAGCCCGAAAAATACGCCCTTGCAACGGCCGCTCGATCTCATAAAAATGTTTTACACGACGCCGTCTGCATTACTCACGGCCACGCCGCGGGATCTTTCCAAAGTCAGACGGGCAAAGATCAAGAGAAAACGGCATCACTCGCGCACACCGTCTATCAGTAGTGATAGTGGAAGTACGACGAGTACTGCCACAACAGAGAGTATGGACGAGAATGGATCGACTCGCATTGAATTGGATGGTGATTCCGAACATAAGAGAATACATTCAACAAGGAGCAATGATTCCGGATTCGACGGTTCACCAAGAATTTCGAGTACTTATTTTGCGATTGTTTGCTCGTCAAAGTTTTGCTATCGAAGACAACTTCCAAATATTTTTTTTAGAGAGAGAAAATATATAATACTTTGACGATGTGACATGAGAATGATATTCGAAATAATTTATAAAACACCGGAAATGATGATTTGTTTAAAACTAAATTAAAACTAAATGTTAATTAATTATTCTTGAATTATTGGAAAAAGATAGTGTAGAAACATTAAAGTCCAAATTTATTTAATTATTTTTCATTAATTTAATATACACATATATTATTACGCATATATATAATTTTAAATATTATCGTTAATTTAATATATAGGGTGTCTAATAAATCGCCTGCAAAGTGATTCGGGATCCAAAAAGAAAGAAAAAAGGTTATTTTAGGTAAACATTCCAGAAATAAGTCGTTTTCGAGTTATAACCACTTTTATGTTTAAGGCCACTTTATACGTCTTTTTGGCATATTTTCAAGATTTTTTTTTTAATAGTAAAATGTATTGAATCTAATCAAACTTTTTACACATTATTAGTTACATATTCAAGTATATAAAAATATTTTTTAAAAATTTTTTCACGCATGCGCGGCGACAAAATGGCGGCTGCAGTGGACGTCGGAAAAAAGTTGCGGACACGATATCTCCAGTTAGAATTGTCTAAAACAAAAAATCCAAAAAGATTCTTAAAATATATGTTAGTGGCTATAGCCGGAACTAGGATTAAACGTTTTGGGCATAAAAAAAGAAAATGGCGATCTTTTGAATTTTTTTACCCCTTTTTTACCCCTAAAATGGTCTAAAAAAAGGATTAAAAATAAACGGAAAATTATGATCCTAGTTCGGGCTAAAACTACACATGTTCTGAACAATCCCTGAAAATTTCAGCCCGATCGGTTAAATAGTTCTCCCAAAATCGTGTCCGCAACTTTTTTTTCCGACGTCCACTGCAGCCGCGCATTTTGTCGCCGCGCATGCGTAAAAAAATTTTTAAAAAATATTTTTATATACTTGAATATGTGACTAATAATGTGTAAAAAGTTTGATTAGATTCAATACATTTTACTATTAAAAAAACTTTACTATTGAAAATCTTGAAAATATGTCAAAAAGAGGTATAAAGTGGCCTTAAAGTTTATACCGTTCCATATATACCGCTCGCGTTGAGCTCATTGTCGAGAAGGTGGCGTAGCTGAGGCGGTCAGCTGTAGGCTACCGATCTGTCGACCCGGGTTCAATTCCCCTGATTCCTGAATTTTTTTTTTTATTGTATTACAATGTTAAATATGTATTAC